GTTATAGATTTTAGCTCCAGTAGTTTCGAATATGCCTCAAACTTTTACTTTCCTTCACAGAGAACAATTTCTACTAACTTGTGATGGGCCACTTTAGAATCTGAGATTGCAAGAAAAGGACAAACTGAAAACATAATGCTGAATAGTGTAGCTTGTTAAAAGTAAGCTATATATAGGGGCGGAGTCACAGAGCCGACTACTGGTTCGGACGAATCCAATAGCTTTGATTCAAACTTTGTATTTTTTTTAAAAATTATTAATTATGTATAAATATTAATTTAGAACCTAATGACTTAAAAAATTAAAATCCCGAACCCATAAGCTTGAAATCCTGACTCCGCCTCTGAGCCTATATCTTTTTTGTCGCGCCTTACAAGCTATACTTATCATCGTGGCCGAATTGCCAACAAACAAAGATGAAACGAATTTGCTATTATATCTACATACAGAATAAGATATGCCTATGCTTTTGGTCCAGCTGAATTCTACTCAACCAAGACCTCTAATAATAATAATTTAAAAGGAATGAACTACAATATAAAAATAAAATTAAGGGGGGTAGGGGGGGAGGGGGGATGAGGAGTTACAAGTTGGATTTTTTAAAAATAGAAAGGGAAAAGTCTTACCTTCGTCCAATGCATGCACTGATGCACCTAATTAATTTTTAGCCAGATCATTAATTACAAATTAAGACGAGTTAAAACTAACAAGTGGTCTTACCTTCGTACAAAGCATGCACCTAATTAACTTTAAAGAAAAAATAAAAAAGGAATTAATTACAAAATATATTAGAGCTAAAACATGCATCTTAGAGGAAAATGTGGCTCACAGATTAGTAGATTTTTGTTTATATGAGCTAATATCATGTGCAAATGGTTTAAGTAATTATGGTTAAGCAACTAATACTTTTTTTAAGAAAAATAATACATTTTATGTATTAATTCATTTTGGCGCTATACACCTAGTGAAGAAAAGTTCTTTTTTCTTTTCATAAAAAGTCACAACTACTTGAATTTTCTAAGGTTTATCTATAAGGACAATCTTTGAATTCTAAAGAAAGGGTCAAGTACCCTTATTTTGTTGTATCACAGCTATCGTCGCAAAGTAGGTTGCCAACATTGAACGGCATGCTTGCTAGCCACACCAATTTTCATGGTTGTCATGGTTTTGTATTTACGTGGATGACATGTATCATGTATGTATGTCACTCTTCAAAATGCTGAAAATCTTTTCCAGTGGTTTTTTACTACGTGGTTGACATATATGGCACTCTTCAATGTGAAGGTCTTTGATTGCCCGATCCTTGCATTATTGGCTAGAATACCACAAAAAATATAGTAACTCGCTCGTATTCACAAAGTATCCCAGGTGTGAAATAAACAGTCTACCTTAATGTAAGTATTAGTGGCTGCTTCCACGATTCGAACGCGGGACCTATAGGTAATACAGAGACAACGTTACTATTACTTCAAGACTCCCCTTCAATACAAAATGTATAGCATGAATAAGAAAAAAAAATAGTAAAACACTATATACTGAGAATCTACAACATCACGATCTCCACTTGAGCAGCCATTGGTCATTAAGCTTGGGTATCATCCTGTTTGAAGAATGCAGAATTAGAACTTTCAGATGAAAAATAATACAAGTGCTCAAAGACCGGGACGGTAGTTACCTTGCAGGCTACTGAACTCTTGCATGGATTTCTAAGAAGAGGTTCCACACTTCCACTAGGTGTTTGTGAAGTGTTTTTTTTTCCTTTTCAGGAAAGGATTCCTCGTCAAATAAGTTTGAGAGGTGTAGAATAGAAATTGCTAAATCTACTACGGGCCATTTGCACAAATGATCCTTTTTGAGGCACAATTTAAGTTCGGGATTTTTACATACTTATACACTATTGGAAATTTTATTACCCTCCCTATTCAAGTTTCACTTTAATTACCTTCTATATACAAAATTACCAATTATGTACATTTTTAGGATTTAAGGATAATTAATCAATTCCGACAATCACTGTAACGTACAAATCTCACTCCCCCCACGTTTCTCTCTCCGTATCCCACTCCCCCCATGTTTCTCTCTCCACATCCCACCCCCTCCCCCATGTATCTTGCACAAAAGAGCAGCAATTCCACCATTAAAAAGCTTTGAAGTTTTGAATTCAAATTTTGTTTTTTAAAAACTATTATTTGTTTGGATTGGGTGTTGTTGCAAAGAATTGAGATTCTCTCTACGTCTCTCTCTATCGCTCAATCCCTAATTCCAGTAATGTAAAGCAAAGAAAAAGAGAGCAGCAATTCCACCATTGACAGTCATTAAAAAGCTTTGAAGCTTTGAATTCGAATTTTGATTTTTAAAAATCATTATTTGTTTGGATTGGGTGTTATTGCAAACAACTGAGAAGATGGTTTGGAGTTTATATCTCAATTTTGAAGGTGTTTTGGTGAAGATTAGACTTGATTTTGGCCGAATTTCAGATTGAAACTCGAAGATGAAGAAGAAGAAGAAGACGAAGACATGATATACATTATATTTACGAAATTGTAGTAAAATTGTAGAAAAATTGTATCCTGTTGATATATATATAATGTATGAAAGTTGAACAATATTGTATAAAAATTATATTTAAGTTGTATGATATTGTAGTTGTATATAACTGAGAAGAAATAATGTGAGAAAATTGTAAATAAGTTGTAGCTAAGTTGTAGATAAATTGTATGATATATAATTAGTTATATGAAATTTATTTTTACTATGAATAAATCAGATACAAAATACATATTGTATAAAATTTGTATTTAAGTTGTATGTTATTGTAGTTGTATTTAACTGGATAGAAATAATGTGAAAGTTGTAGATAAGTTGTATAATATATAATTAGTTGTATGAAATTTATTTTTACTGTGTATAAATCAAATACAAAATATACAAAAGACATATTGTAAAATTTATATAAAAATTGTATTCAAGTGATATGATATTGTAGTTGTATATAATCATCTTTGCTGAATTATGAACAACTTTCAAAACTCTGTCCTAAGGAAATGAGAGCTTTGTTATACTGTTGTGCTTGCATATTCCCCAGCAAAAAGTATCTATTTCTTCTGAATCTTCGTCAGTAAGTACTAAATATACTTGTAAGTTAAAGTTTTAAAGGCTTACGTTCCACTCTATATATATATATATACTATATAGTGAGTGTTAATTAAACAATTAGCCTCCTATTTTCTTTTAATTTGTTGTTTATCTTAACTCCATACTGTTTGTAAACGAGAACTTAAGTTATAGATTATACCAAGACATGCCATCCTTAAACTTTTAGGTAGTAATATTCCAACAATAAGGGAGGTATGGGGTAAAGTTTAGGTTGTATGTGTACAGATGGTCTCGGGGAACACCTAAGTAATCAAGAAGTTGTTGACATCGTACACAATCACCCACGCAATGTAAGATATCCCTTTGAACATTCTCGTGTCTTTTTCTTAGCTATTTGTTGATTTTACCTACAGGCAAGAAGGTGTTTTCACGAAAAATTCAAGAATGGGTTGAAGATCAGGAGAGAAAGGGGGAAAGGGGAGAGAAAAAAGAAAAATGGTGTAACTACATCCCTTGATTGAAGGCACAAATAATGGATTGGGAGCCTTTTAAGGTGGATTGTATATATTTTATAAACAAAATTTGTTTATGCGGGGTAATTTACTAAACAAGGAATTTGAGGGTAATAAAGTTTCAAATAATGTATATGAATGAAAAAATCCCAATTAGTTCTGTCATCGTTAGCCCAATGAAATAAATTTGTCAATGAAATGCAAAGTAAGCCGTAAAAATTGGGACGGAGAGGGAGGACAGAGTAACTTTTGGGCTCTCAAATTTTATTGCTAAGTTTTTCTCACAAGAAATTTGAACACTTTGACAAGATGTTGGATTAGACATGGCAATTTAGACATATTAATCGTAAAAATAGCACGGTATAGCCAGTTTTCGGACTTGGCAATCAAAACTAGCCAGCGTTTGCCAAGTCAATGAAAAATAGCCACCGTTTTGCTGCAATAGAGACGGGTCCAGCATAATATACTGGAGTTCGGTGCACTTGTGTATGAACTCCAGCATATTATGCTGGACCGATATACTTTGCTGGCTCCAGTATAATATACTGGAGACTGGAGCACTGGTGCTCCAAACTCCAGTATATTATACTGGACCATTATACTTGCTGGAACTCCGGTATATTATGCTGGAGTTCTAGTGTACTTATGCTGGAACTCCATCATATTATGCTGGAGTTCCAGCATACTATCCTGGAACTCCAGTATAATATGCTGGAGTTCAAGTATACTTATGCTGGAACTCCAGCATAATATACTGGAGTATTTTCCGAGTTTTGAACAGTGTTTTCGCTCAGATTTATCTTTACATAAAAAGTGGCTAAATTTTGATTACTTTTGAAATTGGGCTATTTTTAAACGACCAGTTGTAAATCTGGCTATTTTAAAAATCTACCATATTAATTTGCAAATTTTGTTAGACAACCTAGTATCTTTTGAGCATGAATTGAAAATAATCACTCATGGAACTCAAGCCAAAAGCCTTGGCAATGACCAGAGATGCATATCATTTACTCGGGATGGAGAAATTCGCAAAATCATAAAATTATATTTTCTTTTGAGAAAAGTCTCAAAGTCGAGGCACAATAAATAGGTTTGTGGTCAAAGCACTCGTTTTGGCCATTGCCAGGTCTTCTTTATCTAAACTGTTCAATTAAATAAATGAGATTGTGAACGGCTACAACTTTGGTAACTTCTATAATATTTAGCTTGATTTTTTCTACAGAGTGCATCAGAAGATACTTAATTGCATTGTAATTCCTTTAGCCCAAATAGGTATAAAAACTACAAGTTTAAAATCAAAATCCACTTAAAAGGTGGTAACTTGAAGACTTTTATCTACATGGAACGGATGTAGTGTTTGTTTTAAAATTGAATATGTTAACTAAAGAGAGATACGTGGAAAGCAGAAAACAATCGCTCAGCCTCAAGTACAAGGGCAGTTTTGCATAGTGGATCACCAAAACTTCACTAACTTAATTTTACTAGAATGAAGTACATGAAAAGTTAGTCTAGTTTGCTCGCAGAGTCGAAACAAATTTCTGATACAAAGACAAAAATCTTACAATTTACAGTATCTCCACTTGAGTCGTTGAGCATTCAGAATCCAGCTGGTTCGCTAATTCTGTGTACTCGTCCTATATCAGAAGAAACTATTAAGCCAGAAGATAGAAAGAGTTTTAAGACAAAAATGGCAGCTAAAGGAAGAGTTCTTCAATTAATTTCTTAGGCAACTGTTGGATGAAAAGGATAGTAGCACCTACAAGGGTTAGATTTCAGGGTGACAACATTCAACGTAATTAATATGAAAAATAACATTAGTGATCCCATAAGTACCTTTTTAAAAGTACTTTTTTATTTTTATTCAGAAAATTAATTTATTCAAGACAAAATAACCTTACAATAAATTTATATTTTTCAAATTATCCCTTATTAATTTAATATTTTTCTTTGCCTTTTCCCTTTTCTTTTTATTTCTACTATACATTTCTTTTCTTTTTTACTTTAATCATATTTTTATTCTCTTTCTCTTATTTCTAAAAGTAGATTTTAAATTTATATTGAATGATGTATTTTGACTATTTAAATTATCGTGTAAACAATAAGTAATACCAAACACTCAGATGTTATTGTTTTGGAATAACTATATTTTATATTGATTGAAATTTTTGATTTATATTTTTACTTTGTGTTTTATATTTTACTTGAATTCTTTTATAATAAATGTTTAAATTTATTTTTCTTTTCTAAATAATAGTAATCTCAAATTGAACTTTTACTGTGCTTTTTCGTAATTTGATACTTAAAAGTGCTTTTTTATAAGATTGGCCAAACACAATGAGCTTGCAAAAAGCACTACTCAAACAAATTGGCCAAACACAAACTGCTATTTTGCAAAAGTACTTTTTCGAAAAGCACTTTTCAAAATAAGTAGTTTTTGGTGGCTTGGCCAAATGGGCTCTTAATGCGAGATAGGTCATACCTTTACTGCAGCAACAGAGACACTTGCATTGATAGCTTCACAATGCACTGAGCAAGCTGATGTTGAGGGAGAATAAACAGACTGCAATTGCAAAGTTGAAGAAGTGTCTGCAAGTTCAAAAACTTTTTAAAGATATGGTGGGAGAAGATTTATCTGAGGATGGATGTACTCGCCTCTGATACATAGCAGTTAATCTTGTTATCCTTCTTCAAGGGGCTCTTTATTGAATCCTCCTGAACTTCTGGTGAGGCTGCTTTGGCAAATTGCACATTATCAGTGAATTTCTGCACTCTTGTTACACCGAACAATCAATCTAGGGAAACGACAGAACTGCAAGTTTATGCCTTGTATTCATAAGCGATGAAGCATAAGGCATTTAAAACTTATTGTATCCTCCATTTTTAATTTTTAGCATTAGAAAATATACATAAAGCTATAAGGTTCCAGTTCCTAAAAGGAAAAGAAACAGGGGAAGTGGAATCAAAATAGAGATAGGCAGATAGCTGAAAGCATATCATTCACGAGATGGAGGAGGAAGCAGTTGCAGAACTTGGACCAAAAAGATGAGTTCTACAAACATTCTCAAAGCAAAGTGAATCTTAACTGCATCTTATGGTAGGAAAATATATTAATTTGGTATAAAGGAGTAAGCTTGCTTGGGATTGAGCTGTATTTTTTGTTGGTTGTCGTTGTTGTAAAGGACTAAGCTACAGAATTGAGCAATTGCCAGACAAACAAAAGGACTAAAGATTATGCTCCTTACAACATAAAGCAAGGGCGTGATAGGAACCTGTGCTTTCTTCAATCGTAGAAGACTTTGGATTAGTGTCTTTCCCTGTGATTTGAGCAATATCTGGAATCCTAGTAAGCAAAATGTCACAATTTAAGTTATCCAGAATGTCACAAATTAAGGAAGAATTGATAACATATTACATGCATGACAGTATCTGAAGTATTTAATAGGAGCCAGATGAGGGAATAGATAAAAGCCACATGTTGATTTTAGTGCCATCTTCCGATCAGCTTGCTAATAACCCATCTAATCATTGTTAAGAGAACCCCTTTTTCATTGATAATAATAAGTTGAAAAGAATCAATAGTTTGGGATAAATTATGGACAAATCGGAGAGTTTCTGTCTTCTCTTTGCCTGTCACTAGGTAATGGTTAAGCACAAGAGCTAGAACTATCAAAGATTTCTAAGCCAAGAATGAATGCCAAAAAGATATGCAAGCAAATTTATCAAAAGGAACAGCGCATCCTGCTGAAAGCTATCAGAGATAGAAAGCTTAGACAGCTGAAAGTTTTGACGATCCGCCTTTTCCTGCGTAGTAAAGAAATGGACTGCGCCTTACACATCCACATCTTTCAGTTAGAAAACAAAAGGAGTTATAATATGTTCTGAGAATGGCTAGCAACATGTTATATTCAGGACAAATTCTTTGCTACGGTGATCTTTGATTCAGGAAAAACTCTTCCCAAGAGTTATTTTGATTGCTGAGTGAGAAATAAAACTTTAACTTAGGAAGTTTAACTGCATTTATTTTAATTAGACGATGGTGCTTAGAAGAAAATTCCAACTGAAAATTCAAGATGTTGCTAATCTTCGGAGTCTTTGCTTACTAAACCGGAATACTAATCTTTCATATTGGAGTTTATAAGAGGCTCAGTCAAACCGTAAGTTTTCACTTTGTCTAATTGAAAGGCATTCTTCCTGGCCTTCCATCAGTGAGGTGAATGTCTTCCTATCCTGGCATTAGAGAAAGATACAGCCAAATTAGTAGCAGAAATGAAGCCAAGGAATAATGCAGTACATTACGAGTGTGGTACTAGCAGAGGAAATGCATATTTCAACAAAGAGATGGAATGCCAAACCGAAACAACAACATTAGCTAGGGCATGGAAAGATTAAATTCGGATGATGGCCTAATGATACGAATTAAGGACCTTATCCTTGTCGAATTGTAGATCATAAGGGTAGTGACAGAATTCATCTGACATAAACAAAAATAAGAGGTATATAAAGGTGCACAGAAATATGTATATTATCCATAAAAAGTAATTTGGGGCTAGCATGAGCAGATGTGCTCAGAACTACATATATCTCTCACAGTTACTGGAGTTGGCACATCAGAAATGATTGAGCAAATGGACTAGATCTGCCATAACACAGAAAAATCTATTTTCCAACAATATCCTCAAGTTATAAGGAATTCACATAGGGCTAAAGTCAAGCAGCATTTGAAAGGAAAATCCCGAGGAAAAATGAGAGTGTGTTCAGACCTCTTCACCCATACGAGTGACGGCATCTTGAATCCTTTTTATGAAAATGCCTAAGCTTCCTACTTCACAATGCAGTCCCTGATAATTACCCACTCAGAAAGGTAACAGTTCAAGTTAATAATCCAGTTTGAAATAAAATAATACTCCTAAGCAAACTACTATGCAAACCTTGTTCTCTGAGATTAAGTTCTGTAGAAGTAGTTCCTTTGTGGATATCTCTCTCTGAAGGTATGACTAGTTAAGGGGCATGCCACTAAGAAGGGAATGTGAAAGAACATTGTTGAGACTTAATAAAGCATAAGGGAGCACGAACTGCTTCCATCAGTTAATGGATATCTGTGTGATCTTTGGTTGGAACTCCTTGCTAAGAATTGCTGCCTCAAGTTCTGCCTCCAGCTGTCGTATTCTTTTAGCTTTGATTGTGAGTTCCACTTCATTATTCATAAGTTTGTTTTCCAGGTTGTTGATCTTCTCTGTACAAATATAGCATTAGTTTCTTAGGTAACAATAGCTAACTTCTTACAATCAGAAGTCTGTAATTTATTTTCACATAACTAATCAACTTTGATGAGCAATGACGGAGTTTACACCGAAAAGGCGTGTAATGAATGACAATTGCACCAAACAAGAAGTCTTAAGCATAATTGTGTAATGATACATAGAACTAAAACTAAACCCTTATTGGATTCATGATTAACTTATGCTTATACATCTCCTCTATGTACTTACACCTAGAGGTATCTAGATGGACAACAGGTCTCGATACCCCAAAGCTATGACAAGTATCTAGATGTACTACAAGCAGAGGCGGATCCAGGAATCGGAGGTTGCGGGTGCCACTACTTTATGCATATAATATATCCAGGGGCGAATATACATGACACCAAGCGGTGTCACATGACATCGCTTCCCCAAAATCTTTTACTAAATATATAATATATAAACAATAAATAAAATAAAAATATTGGATATAAACAAAAAAATTGACGTTGTCACTATAGTTATTTATCCATTTGTTCACTTCTTCAAATGTTGACACCATTTATAAAAATTGATGCGTACACCCCTAAGTATTACCTATAACTAGCTACATGACCGAATTGGAAGGAAGGGTCAGTTTGGTTAGTTTATGGTTAACTCGAACAGGTCTTTCATTCACAAAGCAAATAAGTTTGATTTAGGTTCATTTTTATTCATGAAAGAGTGCCTCCAATCAAATTTTTTGCTTAAAGAATAGCTTAATACTATATATTCTTTGTTTGACTATATTAATTTACCTTTAACGTTCTTGTGTTATTTTTTACATGTTAATTGTCGAGTTATATGATAATATGTTTAAAGCGAAACCTTCAACGTTCAACCTATAATAATTAACTCAAAATGACTATTAATCAAGTTATTTTTTTCAAAAGCCAATAGAAAAGACGGTTCCAATTATATTCCAATATTTAAATTAATATTGTGTCATAAAAAAGAAGAAGACATTATATGCTAACTAACTTGGTAAAAATTGTTCATGAATTAAGGTATAATAATAGAAAGTAGAAACAAAATAAAGACTGCTATACAAAAGTTTAAAAAATAAAGAAGAAGAGAGAAACTCAGCAAATAAAAGGACGAAAACAGAGGAAAAGAAAACGAAGAAAAAAAAAAAAAGAGGTAAGGCTGGGGCCCAACTGAAAATAAAGGAAAACCAGGAAAAAGGAGAAAAACAATGAAGAATAACGCTCCTGTAGGGAATCGATCCCGCATTCATGAGTCAATGACAGCTTTCAGCTGGGACACTGAACCACTGGCACCCACATCGACTTTGTTATTTCTGGGTGCCATCGCTTTGATATATCCGATATTTCATAGATATAATAAATACATAGTAAAAAATTTAGCGAAGCGAGCGGGTGGCGTGGCACCCTGACCTCATAAGGTAGATCCGCCCCTGACTACAAGAAGAGCATTCCTGCGAACCACATGTTCTGTATTATAAAATGACCTTTGTAGATAGATTTATGGCTACGCATGTCTGATGGATCAAATAGTGTCTAATCTAGTAACATCCTATTCTGCTGTGTCACTAAATGCTGAGTACAAGACTAAAGATCTACATGCCAAGGTAAACAAGGATAAGAAATTACCGACGAAAAGTTTCTCAAAAGTAGAAACCTCATCCATTTTCCTCTTTAGCCCAACCACTGAACATGACAAAAGAAATTGAAAAAAGTAACCAAAAAAAAAAAAAAAGTTTGTGAGCAAGTATATGATAGATAGATTGCTGAGACTGAACGAATGAAACCTTAAGAAAAGAAAGCTACATGCCTACATCCTCTTTTTGACTGAGAGTGTGTCTAGCATCATCCATAAGTTTATTAATGGAGGAAGCCTCCTTTGACATCGAATCGAATAATAACAAATGAGCTCTTAACTTTTCAGATAGAATATCAATTTTTCTATCTCTGTCTTCAATAGATCGCTTCATTTCATAAGTAGAGTCCTGCATATTAATTACAGCAGAAATGAGTACCTATTTTGGGGAGATAGCTAAGAAGTTGAGCTCATTGGTTGAGATGACATCACATAAGTTCCATATTACTACAACCTTTACTATCTCAAGTTTAAAGAAACATATACATGAGTATCCACATAAAAGATAACATGGACACAGAAGATTTAAGTTCTAAGGTAGCAAAAATAGCTGCCAAAGGAATAAAAGTTTGGAAAGTTATCTAACAAGACGTTCAGCTCTGCAGAAACACACAATCCAATCTAGGAACTGCCGCCTGAAGAACAATGCCACTTTCTTCCAGTTACAGCATGCACATGACCTCATAATATTCAGTTGCTGATTACAAGAATTATTGTGCCAGATTTTGGAAATAAAGAAATTTACTGGAAAAGTTCCGTTTTCTCTTTACTATTAAAAGACGCCAATGCATTTTCATAATGCCAGAGTTTGGTAACTTCTCATTAAAATTTAGAACTCGAAATCAGATAAAAACAGGAATATTATGAACCAGCAGAACAAACCAGAACATCAGTCATGAAGGTATACGAATTAATTAAATCTACTTTAACATATCTGGCTTAGCATTACAAAATGCTAACCTCATAAGCCTTCAGAAAAGCTTCCCTTGATTCAAGCAAGCTTTGTAAAGTTCCTTCCAATTCCTTCTGCTTGCTTTCCAGCAAATTGTTCTCATTCTCTAAGCAAGTTACCTGTATTAATTTATGATCTCTAACTTCCATTCTGAATGATACAAATTAATAAACATCTAGGTGAGCAGAGGCAAACCCAGGATATGAACTTCATGGGTTCGAGTTCGAAACTGTACCACAGCCTATTTGATTTACTTGGTCCGAAATCTATTATTTGTACTTATTTAGTGGATCTTTTAACAAAAATACAGACTCTGAGCCAAAGCTGATGGGTTGAACCCATTACTTCAACACTACATCCGCCCCTGTAGGTGAGAGGCGGATCTAAAATATAGAGTAGTTAAATGCTCCTCTTAATATATACACAGTTACACACATAAATAGCTCTAAATTAATATATACCACACACACAGACGGATTTTTAAAATGCTTTTTTTTATGAAAGTGAGGTGTATGCCTGTTTGCGTGCACCTTGACTATCCCACTAGATACCTGCTTCCTCCCACCAGCACAGATAACTCTATCCACCAAGGAAATCATATAGTGTTCTGCTGGAATTTCAATGTGAAACCTCATAATCCTCCTTCCATTTCAAAGACCACTAGGCCACACATACATAATTTGAGTTTTGAGATAATAAGTGCACGTGAACCCTCTGCTTATATCTGGATCAGCCTCTGCGTTCGTGTAGTGTATATAAGAGTCAAAGATGAGAAGTAAATTGTACTTTACCTTTCTTTCCAGCTTATGCCTAAGTTCATTAGAGAAACCTAACTCAGCACGCAATTCCGCCAATTTTTCATTGAATTCCTCCTCCGATTGCTTTTGCTTCTGTTATTCATACATCAAAAAACTTCTTCGGCAGCTAGATATTTTACATATAACATTCAAATAATTTCAAAGATGTGAGTGATTCGAGTGAACCTGGACCGAAATTTGGATTTGTTGAGACGCGTTGCGTTCCTTTTCCTGCAATAAAAGTTCATAGAAACTCTTTTGAGCGGTAATGGAGAAAATTGATGATCAGTTATGGAGATGAGAGGTCATGATGAAAATGACGATTTTACTTTGAGTTCTCGAACTTCAGAAATTAGGGCGTGGAGTTGGAGCTTGAATTTGGAGAGCTTCAGGAGCTCCATTTACCCGCCAAAATTCTCCTTAGATTCGAATCGGTTTCTGGAATGTGGTCCGTGTTTGCAGTGGCGTTGAGTTGGTTTAACTTCGTAATTTTACAACTTTATTACGTCTTCACTCGGCAGAGCACTTATTAGTCAAAATAGCACGAGCTACTTAGTTTCGGACTGATAATTAAAAAATAATTAGTATTATGAACTTCCAGCTTATTATGCTGGAACTCCAACACACATAAAGTTCCAGCATAATATAAGGGAAGCACCCGTGTAGTGTGTATGAATTTCCAGCATATTATACTGGGAAGTCTCTTATACTGGAACTTCAGTATATTATGTTGGAACTCCATGTATTATGCTGGAAGTTCACGTGTAAAAAACTCGAACTCGAGTATATTATGCTGGAATATTTTTCGGATTTTGAACAGTGTTTTCATTCAAATTTATCTTTACATGAAAAGTGGCTAAATTTCGATTACTTTTGAAACATGGCTATTTTTCAATTATCACTTGTAAGTCTGGCTATATTTAATTCCACCCATTATTGTGGGAAAATTTCATAAATCATAAGTAGTACGAAAAGGGCCAAAACTGCTCCTAGACTAGTCGATTTGGTACAAAAATATCATCCCGACCACCTATTGAGCCAAAATGTCCCTATCGTTATAGTAGTGGCTCACTTATGCTCGTATTAACTAATGGACTTATTTAGAAAATATTTTTAACTAATACGTGCCACCGTCCCATTGGTCTAAATTTAAATCTTTGTAAAAAATTTTGAAAAAAACACTCATTATAATTTCTTCAGACTCGCTCAAAAAAAGGACAAGCCCAATTGCCAACTACTCCTTTCTTCTCCAATCTCCAAGAAATTGAATCAAATGAGGAGATAATGAATTTTTTTTCTCATACCCATTTGATTTCATTTAATAAATTACTTCCTTAGTCAAGATGAAATTTTATTCCCATACCCGTTTCATTTCATTCCCATACTCAACATTTTCTTACTTAAATTGTTACTTTTTGTATACTTGTTGTGGTGGTACAAATTCTTCCATTTGCAGAATTTAAAAGACGAGGAAGAAATTACATTGTCTTTTAAAATTGGTTTGGATTAATAAGATTTTAAATCGGGGCGAGTCAATCAAAACCCAGGTTATGGTAGTTTTTTCTTTTGAATTTAGCAAGGGTTTATATTTTGGCCAATGGACAGTAACACATGAATATTCATTAATTTTTCTATTTCTTTTAGATAACTCTGTTAGTAATAAGGGCATAATTAAGCCACTAAAATAACGGTGGGGATATTTTGGCTCAATTGGTGGATGGAGCTAGAATATATGAGTCCACCAAACTATATAGAAACCAGGTCCTATATAGGTTTCCACATATAAGGCTAATGCCACAGTAAGTAAATGAAATAGGGAACTTTTACGTGAAAAAATCCCTGCTCAAGGGTCAAAAAACCACGACCTACATTGGTATCATATCAACTTCACTATGAGCAATATTTAGATTACAACCTATGCAACCTAGGAATTAAACTCTTAATCCCTCACTAACTTGTAATACACCTATTAAAAGCCACTTTGCAATACACCTACAAAGACTTCAACTCATGACTAACTCTAGTCACGACAAAATACTAAAGGTTTATGGTTTACAAAGTATTCCTAATTAAAGCTTCTAGATAAGCAAAGTAGGAATTACAATGAAGAACAATTACAAAGTTACAACTCAACTAAGGACATATAAGAGACTCGTTATAGGAACTAGTCCGTAGTAGTGTTATACTTTGTTCTTGATGCACTTAAGAATTGAATGCTTGATTGTCATATGCTTAGAATGCTTGAATGAATTCTCAAGTGTTCAAGTGATTTTTGTTGTAATGTTTATTGTTAATCCAACTTGGATTACATCACTTGAATGATGCAGTCACTTGGTTGGTACAAGATCCTTCCCAAATGAGAAGTGACTGTTGCACTGTTTGCGTGTTCAATGCAGGCAGTCACTTTCCAACTGTAAAAGTTGACTTTGTACTGTTGTTAGGAGAACCCAAGGGGATCAGGTCCCTGTGTTGATTCTTTATCTCCTGAAGTCATAGCAAATCACATAAGCTTGAATCCGTTGATTGAGTTGTGTACCAAGTCTATCAGGTTCCTTATCTGGTTCTTTGACAATAAGTTTGTTAGATCATCAAAACTTGAAGCTAAGGTACTATAAATTTATCAATTTCCCCCTTTTTAATGATGGCAAACTTAAAAATTGACAATCATATTTAGAGCAACAAAAACCAGATAAAGTAACAGGAACTTCACAAGTTCTCCCTGACTTTGTGCTTCCCCCTAAATCAGTCCCTGCTTCTTCTTAACTCTTTCAATTTTATCTACTCTTCCCCCTTTGGCGTCATTAAAAACACACCAACATGCAAATATCATAAAAAAGTCTAGCCCAGTTAACTCATGCCACTTGTGTGCACACAAAGATGATAGAAAAGAGAAGCAGAGACACATAAGCATTTACAGCAAAAGTAAGAGAGCTTTCATTAAACAACAAAAAAACATAAGCATTTGCCTTTACAGCAAACGCAGATTTGGACTATTTACACGACAACAGTACTAGTGATTTCCATCCACAAACCAAAAGAAAACAAACACAAACCCCACAACATCATCAAAACACTGTCAAGAGGGATAAACTGGACATTGGTCACTGAGAGATATGCCTAGGGGACACTAGAGGAAGAGGGCTTGGAAGAGGCAGCAAGTGTGTTGAGAACTAGATCTATCCGAGCATTGGTGGATATTTGCTCAGCGAGCAGTTTCCCCCTCGGGTTCTCAACTTGTTTCCTGAGACCAGCATTCTTCTTAGTCAGACGAGCAACCTCTGCATTTGAAGAACTGGAGGACCCTGGTGCCTCTTGGGCCTGACTGAGCTGAGTCTCTAATATGGCATTCCTTGCTTTCAACTTTATGATCTCTTCAGTAGCACTATTTTGAGCATTTATAAGTTGGGAGATCTTGGAAGTGCTTCCTACCCCTCCAATTTTGTCAATACACTCTCATTCCTATAGAGTAGTTTTAGAGATAGTCTGCTTCTTGGTCCCCATATTAGGTTGTCCCAAAGGAACTTTAATGAATTTGAAGACGCGCGTGAGGAGAAATCAATAGGGGAGGCTATGATTTCCATCTTTGAATGCTGCCACCTTTTGCATATGCTCAATCATTATGGCTGGCAGATTAAAAGTTTCAAACTCATCTAGCGCTTCCGTCAGATACAGATCAGCCTTAGATGTGATGGACCTCCTCTCAGCGCGAGGAAGCAGGACCTTGTTTACCAACTCAAAAAGCAACTGATAAACAGGAAGAAAGCTTTTTATGCACCTGTTCCCCCTGCCGCACAGCACTCTCCTTAACTATAGCATGCCTAAAGTTTGAACCACAAACACTTCTAACAGGAGACAAACCTTCCGTAGGAACTTGAAGTATGTTTCCTAACACAGCAGAGTCCATAACAATGTCTACGCTATATACCAGTGCGCAGATGTGATCAGATTCAACGGTAAAGAGGTATGCATAGAAACTTTGAACCTCTTCCCCATATACCTTGGGCACATCTACCTTGAATAGGTGTCCCCACTGTTGAAACTCAACCATCTCAAGCACTTGGCACATTCCATCCATCTCAGATATCTCAGGGTCAAAAATACGACCCCACAACACTTTCTGACACCTCAACCTTTCTTTACCAGATATACTTTCACTTTTTGCCTTTTTCACAGAACCAGGTTCATTTCACATCCTCCAATTTCCTTTTCACAGACTTTCCACTGGACTTAACTATCCCACTAGATTTCACTTGCACATCCTCATCAGACACAGACTCTTCTACCACAACTTCCTTCAACTTGCTACTATCTTTTATTGACTTTTCACTGGGCGTTCCAAAACCTTCTTTTGAAGTACTCCCAGTAGAGTGCTTCTTTTTCTGAGACCTCTTGATCAAGAAACTTGGTTCCTCTATGGCTTCCTCATCAACTCACAACTGGGATATTCTTGTCACAAACAACTTCGCCATTCTTCACCAGCCTTTTCTTCTTCTTCATGTTACTTCTCTTACTTTTCTTTGGCGCAGACTCAAGAGCATCCTTCTTCTGCAACCTTGTGGTTGGTCGCTTAGGAGGGGTCAGGAGTTGCTACTGGCCTCCTTGCGGTAATGAACGCACTCAGAGCAACATCATCCTCATCTTCTTCACCACTGGATCTCATAATAGGAGCTACTACTTCCAAGGGCTAAACATTAAAGTGAGGAGAAGGAGCAGGGTCAAAACAGACCTGGGAAGATGATTCCTGACCTGTTTCCTCAGGAGAGGGGTCAGGTCTATCAAAAGGGTCCTTGTAGTCTCTTCCGGTGCAAGCTGTTCAAAGAGCACCATTGCGCCTTCTCCCACCAAGGACTGAATCTCTTCCCCCTGAGACTCAGGCATAGTGGAACTTTCCTTCCCAACAATTCTCTCAACAGCAATAGCCAACATATTTTCTATGGCATCCCTCTCTTGAGGTTCCATAGGAGCAACAACAGAAGAGATAGGAGTACATGTAGTCTGATCAAAACTTTCCTTAGAACCCTTAGCACTTTCAGGACTGATCGATGAAGCTTTTTCTGCCGATGAAGACTTACTCTTTTCCTTTGGAACTGGAATGTCATCTTTACTCTGTTCTTTGAGTGACTCAGGCAACAAGGGAGAGATGATTTCATTCTTAGGGTTGTTTGAGTTCTCAACACTTAGAGGAGGAGTAGAGTCGGAGGGAGTAGAGAAAGGGATGGGGGTGAAGGAGAAACTGGTTTAGGGTTTTCTATTTTAACAGTGGTGGAAGAAGGGATGACTGCTGTTGTTTCTACAGGAGAAGACTCGAGGTTTTTCTCTTCAGTGGTAGGAGGGATTGTTTGATCCTCAGCCATGATAGAGGAATTTTGCTTGAAGATTCTAGTGAGGCTGAGGAAGACAGAGATGGTGACGACCCAAAGGGTCATCACCTGTTTTCTTACCCATTCTGTACTTCTAAGGCCTTGAAAACCTTATTTAGGGTTGCCT